CTCTCTCTCTCGTACGGGAACTCCAGGGATGTGTGTGTATGAGATCACTGGACACTACCCCACAGGTCATTGAGGCTCTTTATTTTTTAACCTTTTTAAATTTTGTGCCTCAGTTTGGATGATTTCTACCTTAAAATTTTTTTTAATGTTTATTTTTGAGAGAGAGGGAGAGACAGAACCCAAAGCAGGCTCCAGACTCCTGAGCTGTCAGCACAGAGCCCAATGTGGGGCTCGATCTCACAAACCGTGAGATCATGACCTGAGCTCAAGTCAGACACTCAAATAACTGAGCCCCCTGGTGCCCTTGGATGATTTCTATCTTAACTAGTCTCTAAACCATTGGTCTTTCTTCTACTGCATTTAGTACACTGTTAATCTTCAATGACACATATTTTTTTGAAATTTCAAATATTTTGGTTTTGTTTTTCCAAGTAACTTCTCCTGAAATGTTCCGTCTGTTCAGCCGTTGTCCGTCAGATTTAAAGTCCTTTTTTGGGGCGCCTGGGTGGCTCAGTCCGTTAAGCATCCGACCCCAGCTCAGGTTATGATCTCTCGGTTTGTGGGTTCGAGCCCCACATCGGGCTCTGTGCTGACAGCTCAGAGCCTGGAGCCTGCTTTGGAGTCTGTGTCTCCCTCTCTCTCTGCCTCTCCCTTTCTCACACTCACGCACTCTCTCCCTCTCTCTCTCTCTCGATCTCAATCTCAAAATAAATAAACATTAAAAACATTAAAATTAAAGTCCTTTTTTGCCAGCCCAACATTTGGGTCATCTGTGGGTCTGTTTTTATTGACTGTTTTTTCTCTTGACCGTGAATCACATTTTCCCGTTTCTCCTACGACTGGATTGTTCTGTTCTTACTGTGTAACAGACGGTGTGGATGATACGTTGTAGAGATTATAAATCCTGTTATCGTCCTATGAAGAGTGCTGAGTCAGCACCCGTTCATCAGTGATCACTTTGACTTGGTGGAGGCCTGAGGCTTGGCATTAGTTTGTTAAGGCAGATCTGTTTCTGGTTTGCCCTCATTCCACCCCCTGGTGTCCTGGGATGGGTCTTACTTCTGAGGGGGGGGGGGGTGGGGGGGGGGGGGGGGGCTTGCAGGACTTGAATCCCACATGCTCTCCCCTCAGGCACGCAGTGGCTGTGGGCCATGCTCAGCCGCCTTCTAGCTCCTGTCCAGAACCTTCCTTCCCTCAGCCTGCTTCGGTGCAATTCAGGGGGCATCCAGGGTTTCAGGGGGGCTCATAGGCAGATTGTGGGGCACCTCCCTCTGTGGTCCCTTCCCTCCAGGCCTGCCCCTCTGTTTCCAGTTGGTATGGCAGCCCCGAAGTCCGTCCGTGGGCTCCTCAGGGCGGCCAGACCGCGTCTTTCTGCCTGATCTCTACCCCCACGCACTGTGCGGCCCGGGCAGTGTCCTCCCCTTCTGTTAGGGATAGACCTTCCAGGTTACACCTGGTTCTGACCCGTCTCCGGTACCCGGGAACACTTGTTCTTTGTGTCCCAGTTTATAGTTGTTAGCAGAAGAGTCCGCCCTGCGTAGACTAACTCCACGATCGCTGCCGTCCAGGGCCCTGGGCTGTGAGCTGTGAAGGAAACGATTGCGCAGGTGACCTCCCGTTCTGATGGCCAGCTTCCAGAGCGTGATGCCTGGCGGTCATCCTTGGACCCCTGGGCGAAGTCCACCCTCCTTCCTCTGTGTGGCCCTCCACACCAGGCCAGCCCTCGAGCTCAGCGCCCCCCTCGGTCCTGCCCTTCAGGCCTCCAGCCTGGACAGCTCCTTCCTCCCCCCTGAACTCTCTAGACCTGCTCCGCCCAACGGGACTTCCTGCAACAATGGGGTTTGCCCCAGGCCTGCACTGTCTGGCGTGGTGGCCCCTGGCCACTAGCCATTTGAAATGTGGCCCTTGTGACTGGGGAACCAAACTTCTGGTTTCGTGCAGTTGAGTCCAAGTTGAAATAGCTGCGCATGGCTGGTGGCCAGTGCCTTGGACAGGGAGCTCCAGACCTTTGTTCCTCCGAACGTGGTCTGACACGCAGGGCCGGCCTTGCCTGGGAGTATGTGGGAAGTGCGGAATTGCGGGGTCACCACAGACCCGCGGACAGAAACCTGGGGCGGGGCCGGCAGGCTCAGCGGCCGCGATTTACTTGCTGTCCAGCTGGTGTGTGTGGCCGAGACGCTGCGCCTCTGGGCCTGGGCACCTGCCCTTCCCTCTTTTCTGCTTGGCAAGTTCCTGCCCTTCAACACCCAGAGGAATCCAGCCCTCAGGGAAGCTGCCCCCCTCGGCCCCCTTGCTGAACTCCTCACGCCGGCCATGGGTCCTCTCCTTGTCTCCAGTCCCCGGCCGGGGGCGGCCCCTTTCTGGCGCTTAGGACTGTCCGGTAGAACTCAGGCACCGGCAGTGCCTACACCACCCGCCCACGATTTCTGCCCCAGGACTTTGCTTTGTAGCCGGTGTTTTAAGCTTTGGAAATTCTTAGGGTAGTCAGTAGGGCTTAATTCTTGGGCAAATTTCCTTTCAAGAGCCCTCCCCCCTTTCTTTTTTTTTTTTTTTTTTTTTGTTCGTCCTTTAAACGAAAATGCCGGTTTCTTGTTTAACAGAAAGAGTAAAGAAATGCAGACGCTGGTCTGCACGATGAGGAGACACCTCAGGGAGAACTGGTCGGATTCCTCCATAACAGCTGGGGGTTCCGAGGCGGGGGTGACGGAGGCCCCGTGGCTGTGTGTGCGGGCGGGGGTGGGGCGAGGCCTTTCGGGGGCCCAGGGGTCCTACACACCCCGACGCCCATGCTCTGAATCGCGTCTTCCGGCCTCCGCAGACACCCACGCGTCCTTTCCACCGTCTGGTGGGGTCCGCCCCCTGGGCCCTGCTCCACCGCAGCCAGCGCCCGGCCCAGCCTTCCCCTGAGCTCTGTGCTGGCAGCTTCTGCCTGAGGAGAAGTCCCGGCCATTCTGTCCATGTGTGACACCCTAGCCAGGATGCAGGTGACAAACTGCTCTTCACGGAGCATGTGGGAGCCCGGACTGCCTGTCGGGTCCTCAGGACGTGAGCGGCAGGTAGCTTTTCGCGGTTCCCTCTTTTGCAAGGGCTGCTAGGAAGCTCAGAAGCAGGTTGCATTCAGGTCTCTGGGACTTGGTGCTTTGCATCTCTGGCAAACTTCTCTGTCCTCTTCACCTCTGGGAGTGCCAGCTGGGGCTATCTGCTTTGATATTATCGGTTCCTTCTCTTTCTGTGGCCCGCCGCCCTGATCCTCTGCGGGAACATCAGTGGCATAAAATGTTACCAGCAGTGCGTGGCCGCTTCTGCCCCACCTGCAGCGTGAGACCGCAGGCCGCTCTTGGGTTCCTGGGCCTCAGCGGCACCGTCTGCAAAACGGGCCCAAGAGAAACAATCACAGGGCTGCTCGGGGGATTAAATATCTTGGGAAAAACACTCTTCCAACGTGGTTGGAAGGAAGGAAGGAAGGAAGGAAGGAAGGAAGGAAGGAAGGAAGGAAGGAAGGAAGAAAGGAAGGAAGGGAGAGAGGGAGGGAGGGAGGGAGGGAGACAGGAAGAGTCTATGTTTTTCTGCTCCTTTGCCACGGGAAGCAGGACTGTGCAGACGGCACCAGGTAGGGTATCGATCTTCCCTGGCTGATGAGGTCGAGTCCTCCGCACACACCCACACATACTGGGCACCCTCAGTGTGCTGGGGCCCCTGCCCCTTTCTGAGCCCCTCCTCTCCAGGTCCCTCTGGCTGTGGGGTGCAGAGAGCACCCACCACCCGCCCCCCGCCCCGCCAGGCAGTAGGCGTCTCAGGGAGGATGCTGGGCCTGCCAGCTCCCAGCAGCTCTGGGGGCCCCTGAGGGCTGGGGAGCAGCCGGGGAGCGGCCGGGGAGGCAGCCGTGCCCAGGAGGAGCGGCTGGGGCTGAATGTCGGGGCTCAAGTAGGGGAGGAGAGGCAGTCCCAGGGGCCTCAAGTGGAGGACACAGCAGCTCGTTCTGTGCCACCCTCCGTCGTGAGACTCTGCGACGTGCGGGAACCAGACTGGGCACAGATTTCTGCTCAGTCCATGAAAGAAAACACTTTCGGGGCAGCACAGCTGAGAAGAAGTAGAACACGCTGCCTTCGGGGAGCGAGCACCCTGTCACCAGGGTAATGTAAGTGGAAGCTGCAGGATTATCCGGCAGGGATGCTGGACGATGGCTGTCCCTGCTATTTGAGGGGGGTGTGAGCTCCGTCATTTCCAGAGCGCCACCTGCTTCGGTCTGTGTTTGGGGCTGGAGGGGTCTTGGTGGAGCCTGGCTGCCGAGATCCGGCATCTCCCCGTCGTGCTTCCGCTCAGCTGTGTGATCGCAGGCGAACCCCTCGCCCGTCCTGAGCTCCAGGCCCTCCACCTGCGAAACCGGAGGCCTGCACGGGTGGCTCCTGCAACGGCCGTCGGCAGTGCTCCCCGCCCGGGTCTGGGCACCGGGGGGACGGCTCCCACCCCAGACAGCCGGGTTTCCTGCCTCTTGCAGGGTCCTTGGGGAGGCAGCTCCCCGCTCCCGGAAGGAAACCCCACCGGCTGTTCCCACGCAGCTTGACGTGCCGGCAGAGGGGCCGTGGACGTTTTCCCCCCAGAGACCATCGGTTTGTTGTGATGAGTCTCGACGTGGCCGTCTCCACAATGGCTCGACCTGTAAACGAGACCCTGTGCACGGGTGACAAAGGCCGGGGGCGTTTTACAACACTCCCGCGTCCCGAGCGTCCCCGTGGCGCAGTCCCCGTGACGGGCAGGCTTGACTTCTTTCCGCAGCGCTGGCGGACGGCGTGTGCGTGTTTCCCACAGACAGGTTGTCAGCTGCGTGCACTCTTGCCTGCGGCTGCCTGATGGACGCGACGAACTGCAGTGAACCTAACGGCCTGAGGCGGCGCCTGCGAGTCATCTCCGGGCAGCCCTGGGTCAGGAGTCTGAGCGCGGCCCCGGGGCCGCGCAGCCGGCCGGGGCCCTGGTCTCCGCTCAGGCTCGCCCGGGGAAGCAGCTGCTTCTCCAGGCACACGGCCATTGCCAGCATTCAGCTCCTTGCTGGCGGTCGGTCGGCTGGAGGCTGCCCTCGGCTCGCTGCCCCGTGGCCCTTTGCGGGGGCCGCTCCAGACGGGGCCGCTTGCTTCTTCAGAGCCAGCGAGGGGGACAGCCGCGAGCTGCTCCACTCGCGGTCCCACGCGGCGTGCCCCTGGACGCGGCCGCCCGTCACCCCCGTGGACCCTGCCGGTGAAAAGTCAGGTGTGGGTCCCGCCCACACCCGGGGGGAGGCAGGTCAGAGCGTGAACACAGGGGTTGGGCCTTGGGGCCGCTGGCCTGTGCGCCCCCGTCCTCACCCTCGCAGACACACGCACCCGCAGTCACGCGCAGGCGCGAGGGCCCAGGCCCGAGCAGATCGGGATGAGGATCGACGGACGGGGTCAGACGCGCCCCCCCCACACCCGTCCCCTGCACGCGACGCGGGGGGTGGGAGAGCGGGCTTTGCGTAGTTACCTGCTGTGTGACCCCGGGCAGGCTGCCTCCTGCTGGGTCTCTGCTCCTCATCCACGAGCGGCAGTGGGGTTTGGCCCGGCTCCCAGATGCCGCAGACGTGTCCCCCAGCGTCCACGCCACCCACCTTCCAGGGGGATCAGTGGAGGTTTTGTTTTCCGAACGACCAAGCAAGTAACTCAGTTCTCCGTGGACCCTGGCTGAGCGTCCCCCAGATCTGACTCGGTCCGACTCTGGCTCCCTGGAGATGGCGTCAGACCCTGCGGGCCGGGGCTCAGTCCCCAGGGCCGCCCCCTCCCCTTCGGGCTGCAGGACGACTGGCTGTGGAGCAGAGGGTCCCACGACCCCCTCCTCGGGTCGGATCGTTGGCCGGAGCGGCTCGCAGAGCTCGGGTGAACGTGTCGCGCACTGGATCGCTGGTTTATGATGAGAGGATGTCTGTCACTGGAAGAGCGGACGGGAGAGATGCGTGGGGCAGGTGCACAGGAAGGTGCGGAGCTCCCCGCCCTCCCCCGGCCCGTGGCCTCCGCGGCTCCGCCTTCACCGCCCTGGAAGCCCTCCCACGCGGCCCCAGGTCGGCTGGGGGGTGGGTCCCGGAGGCTTCATGACCCTGGCCCGACCGAGGGATCACTGGCCCTGGCCGAGGGGTCTGTCTCCAGCCCCTGTTCCCTCCGGGGTGCAGGGGTGGGAGGGGGAGACCCTCCAGTCACATGGTCGGTTCCTCCCCCAGCCCCCATCCTCGGGGGCTTTCCAGAGGCCACCTCACTCGCATAAGACACCTTGTCACTGTCATCACTTAAGCCCCAGAGTTTTAGGAGCTCTGTGCCAGGATGGATGAGGACCAAACATATTTCACACCATAAAACAGCATCACGCCTGCCCACACAGAGCCCTGAGCCCGGCAGATGGGACCCGGGAGCCAGTCCAAAGCACCAGACGCTCAGGTGGGAATCTGCAGAGTTGGTGGTCAGGTGGAGGGTCCCTGAGCAGAGGGGACGTGCAGGGGCACTGGCAAAGAGCAGAGAAGGCTGCCTTGGAAGTGGCCCCTGCTGCCCGCTGTCTTCCACCCTGTGCTTGCAGATGGCGGGGCTGATCTCGGGTGGACGGAGATCCTCCGAGGTTTGCTCTGTGGCCCTGGAGGCAGTGGGGGGAGGGGAGGTGGAGGAGGGGGTGGGCGGAGGTCACGGGGTCCCCCGCTCCGTCTTGTTGCCGTTCATCCTTGAGCAACCCCAGAGGAGGGGGTCTTCATTGGCACTCTGTACTGATGAGGAATCAGACACAGAGAGGTCGAGACACTTGCCCAAGGCCACACAGTGAATGGCAGCCCCAGAGCTGGAACCGCGGGCTGTCTGGCTTGTGTGCACACGGGACAAGGAAGGATGAAGGGCTGGGTACTTTACGAGGAGATGGGGCCCCAGCAATGTCCTAAGGCCCCCCCCCCCCCGCCAAGATCTGGAGCCACGGCGGGGGGTGTCCCACAGCTCCACGTGAGCCACCCCCGATGGCAGACCCAGCCCAGAGCTCCAACAGCAGGGGTGAAGCGAAAGGAGCTTCTAACACCTCAGCCTCCCCGGAGACTGTGGCCTGGAATGCCCCGTTTCTTAAACAGCCTGTTTAATCACCAGGCCGGACGCCTGGAGCAGGGCCCTCAGCCCCGCTGCCCAGGCTGGACGGGAGTGAGGACTGTTCTCTGCAGCCAGGGCCCAGCTCCATACTCGGCACCGATTCACCCCATTTAACCTCGAGCTCGGGCTCTGCTCCATCCCGGGGTCCCCGCGGGAGCCGGCAGGTCCCTCCCTCGGCCGGGGGGGTGGGTCCCCGGGAAGCCAGCACTGTGCTTGGACCACTGGCCAAGTGCTGCGTGTGCACTTCCTCCGCCCCGCCGAGGCTCAGCAGAGGCTCGGCGTGGAGGGCTGGGAGCCGTTTCTGGGCAGGAAGAAAAACTGTAACTCAAGCTCCCTCTCGCTCTGAGTGAAAAACTCTGCTGTCGGCCAGGCAGCCTGCCCTCTGGGCTCTCTGAGGGCCTTGCTGCAGCTGGGGACCCAGGGGCCCTGTCGATGGAGCCCCTGAGACAGGGTGGCTGGCCTTCCTGTTGGGCCGGCCCCAGGGAGCTTCCCCATCGGAGCCCACCTGGCCCGGGCCTGCAGGTGGGGGTCCCTCACTGGGCCCCCCAGTGGCAGTCTCTCCACCCCACGCCTCTCCCAGGCTCATCTGTGTGCCCTGACCCAGGCTGTGCTGTGTTCCCGGCTGGGGGCAGACCGGCCCGTCAGAAACCCGGGGTCGTGTGCCAGTGACTTATTCTGCCCTAGGATTCAATCTAGAGAGAATGAGGCCAAACCCTGGGAGGAACCTAAGCAAACAGAGTCCCATAGGTTCCTAGAGTGCCTAGTTCTAGAAGGTTCCTGAGCTCCCGAGGAACACATCCCTGGCCGTGGGTTCTGTGACAAGAGCTTCTGTCTCTCTCTCTCTCTCTCTCTCTCTCTCTCTCTCTCTCTCTCTCTCTCTCTCTGTTTTGGCTGCAGGTAGAGTTGGTTTCTCTTTCTTGCATCAAAAAAGAGTTAACTTGGGTGTGGGAGGTGCCCCCTGCCTGGGGGTCCTGGGTCCTGCCCCAGGCTACTCTACCCAGAACAGGGCTGCCCTTCAGTGTGCAGAAGAATTCAGGCTCTGAGGGCTCGAGAGCCAGCCCGAGTGACCACGGTCTGCACGGGCTCCCCCACCCCGCAGCACTGTCCCCCAGTTGGGGACCCACCGGGATGCAGATCCCTGTCTGCAGAAATGCCCGGCCCTGGCATGCGCTCAGAAGTTGGGGGCATCTTCTCTGTCTTCAAGGGGCCCCGAGGCGGCCCCAGGGTGACTGGGGTTAGGAGAGGCAGGAAGGGCACATTCCCAATGTCTGTGCCGTTATTAGCCGGCTGGGGGCCACTGGCTCTGCCTGTGGTTGTAGGTCATTGTCCGAACAGACTGGAGTCCCTGGATGCATCCCAGCTGGACGGGAGGCCTCTGACCAACCTGAAGCCGCCCCGTGTCCCTTCTGTGTCACACAGCCGCTCAGGAAGCCCCAGTGACAGTGGATGGGAGGGAAGCCCGTCCCTCAAGCATTCACGGCCATGAGGGTCTGGCCGACCCTGGCTGTGGCCACGTGGCTGCAGGGACAGGGACAGCAGCTCTAATGTGAAGTAGGTGCCACGCACCTCGGGTGACATGCCCACGTGGTCCCCTTTGCGGTGGGTCCTGAGACTGGTCTCCTGGGTTTGGGGCAAGTCTCTTCCCCTCTCTGAGCCTCAGTTTGTTCACCTGTACAGTGGGGATGTCCCTCTCTGAGTGAGTGACTCCTGTGTCCTTGGGCTGACCGGCTGCTTCGGGGCCCCTTCCCTCCCCAGCCTCTGCCGCCCCACAGGGCCCTGAGGGCTGGCAGGGGCAGGGCCTGGGGGCGCCCAGCCAGCCACTCCTCCCTGGAGCTGATGACAGACATGCGGAGTTTCCATGGAGGTTGGAAAACAGAACACAGAGAACTCGGAGATTTTGTCATCGCAACTCTCGAGTAACCGAAAACAATGACATCGTAAATCTAACTCCAGCCCCTGGAGCTGGGTTTTCTCTGCGGTGTGGAGGTGCCCCCCGTGAAAGGGTGGCTGGAGGAGGCAGGGAAGAAGCTGGGTGCCTGCAGTCAGCCTGCGCCCCTTATCAGACGCCCCGAGACATTTCCAGGGACGTGGGATAACGGGCTGTAGCTCCTGGGCCGCCCGTGGCAAATGACACTCGGGAAACACAGGACAGGTGTCGCCTGTTCTTGTACCCAGGTGCCCTAGAAGCAGAGCCTGAGACCGGGGTTGTGGCTGTGTGATTTGTTGGGAATGTTCCCAGGACAGGGCAGGGTCTCTGCTGGAGTCACGCTTCGGCCTGGACCGCAGAAGCTCTTGAGTGTGAACCAAGCCACCCAGGCAGGCCCAGCTTGTACCTGCGGGTGCTCTGGATTGGGGGGGGGGTGGGGGTGGGGGGGCAGGCGCTGACCCAGGGCCGTTTTCCTCTGAAGGGGCAGCTGTGAGGGTGAGTCAGCCCGATCCTCCGGCCGCTGGGGGAGGCGTGCGGGGCCTGGTCAGGGAGCTCCAGTCCCTGCAACAGCCGTGTGTCCGTTCCCATTTCACAGGTGAAGAGACTGAGGCCCAGAGAGATCATGGGGCTCGTCCAGGTCACACCCCACACGCAGTAGAGGCAGGGCGGCCCCTGGCGTGCCTCCCCCACACATCGTTCTTGCAAGGAGGAGGCTGTTGGGTGCCGACCACCCCCCCCCCCCCAACGCCTCTGAGGCTGGTTGCAGCCCCTCCACGTTAGCGTGGAAGCCGCGCCCAGGACCGCCGGGGCCACGGGGAAGGTCTCACTGCTAAGTCGGAGCGGTGCTCTGTCCCCGTGGTCGCCGACCCGGGCTGTGGGGTGGGTGGAGAAGTAGGTTGTGGGCGTGCAGAGTGGGAGGTGGCCGTGCGGAGGGGCAGTGGGAACCCGCGTCTGGAACTCAGGCACGGCATTTCGGTGCCACCCGGGCAGAAACGGTGCAGCGGGGTCTTGTGCTATGATAAATGACCACTCTTAGCAGTTTAAATAACCCAAATGTGCTATGGGGTCTCACTGGCCATGGCTGGGCCCGGGGCAGGACTCCCTGACTCTCCCTCTTGCCTGCCCCTCAGGTGAGTGTGGAAACAAAATTTAAAAATTTTGGGGCGCCTGGGTGGCTCAGTCGGTTAAGCGTCCGACTTCAGCTCAGGTCACGATCTCGCGGTCTGTGAGTTCGAGCCCCGTGTCGGGCTCTGGGCTGACCGCTTGGAGCCAGCCTAGAGCCTGCTTCGGATTGTGTCTCCCTCTCTCTCTGCCCCTCCCCCGTTCATGCTCTGTCTCTCTCTGTCTCAAAAATAAATAAACGTTAAAAAAAAAATTTTTTTTTAAATTTTAATGTTTATTCATTTTTGAGAGAGAGAGAGTTGGGGAGGGGCAGACAGAGGGAGAGAGGGAGACACAGAATCCGAAGCAGGATCCAGGCTCCCAGCTGTCGGCACAGAGCCCGACGCAGGGCTCGAACCCACGGACTGTGAGATCATGACCTGAGCCGAAGTCGGATGCCTAACTGACTGAGCCCCCCAGGTGCCCCTGGTGCTTCCTCACACATCTTAAAGCGGGGCTCCCAGCTGTCACCCCAAGTTTAAACGGTGTTGCATGGTAATATGACAATTTTTTCCTTAAATGTTGACATTTAAAATAATGCAGGAAATTGTATCTGTCCTCATCTGGTACAAACCAGATCACACGGGATCTAGATTCCAACTGCCGAATTGGAAATTGTGCGCTGTTTATGACTTACGAGTCTTCAGACCCACTCCGTGATGCACAAAACGAGGTAAATTGAAACAGATTAAAAAAGAAAAGTTCTGTGATCCTTATTTATATTCTAATACCTTACTTTTTTTTTCTGGCTTTAGTTATCCCTACATTTGTTATTAGAACCCAATTGACCAAAACCACATAAGTACAAGGAAAATTAATTTTGATGACAATTATTAAACATAAGCTCATGTTTTGTTGGAAACAGTGAGATGGGCAGGGCCGCTATTCACTGTCTTGTGTTACCCACTGAGGGAATTTGAGGGGGGTCTGGCATCCGTCTACGTTCACTTTCAACTTCACAGATAAAGAATCGAAAAAACCCTATTGACACGGTGGCCCCTTGTCGGGGTCGGTCAGGGAGGCAGGACCACTGTGTCTCTGACGTGTATCTGTTTCCTGTGGTTCTTGAACGTGTGTGTGTATAGACGTGCATATATGCAAATCTGTAAATAAACATGTACTTAGGTAAAGGATTGCATACGTAAATAACGAATATATTTTTAAATAGAATTTATTACAGAATTAAAAGTAATTTTATTAGATCAATCCATACATTTACATAAACATGTGCAGACATGCGTGTACACGAACTTACACATTTCTACGGAGGCTTACCTCTAGCAGCACACGTGTCTGTATCTGTAAATTCCTCCATAGGTAAAAGCATGTACACACACATACATCCACATGCTTGAATACAGGGCGGTCTGCATCGTCATACGCGTGTATCTACATCTCTTTCTAAAGGGACAGGCAGCTGGGGTTGGCCCTGCTGGTGCTGGTGGGCTAATGGTGTGATGGGCTGTAGCGGCCGGGGGTGGGGGGGGAGCAGGAGCCCGCACGTGGGGCCCCCTCCCCACTCCTGGGTGTGAGCGGCAGGTGAAGGTGTCCTCTGTGACCTCGGACGTCTTACCCGTGAGGGGGGAGCAGAACACCTCATCCGCGGTAGGAACACCGGGAGTGCTGGGAACGGAACAGCCTCTGCAAAGCGCAGGGAGGAAGGGAGGAGAGCACTGCCAGGAACACCCCAGCGGGGTCTTCCGCGGGGGGACCTGGCAGGTGCTTGCAAACCCCGTGGAAACCTGGAGAACGAAGACCAGCCGACCTGAGGGGGCAGAGCTCGCTGGAGGGCCTCCGCCCGCACCGACACCTGTCCCTAAGCGGCAGGACAGACACGGGGAGGGGGGACCCCAGGCAGGCAACACAGCCGTGGGAGCGTCGACACCCGTGTGGGTGGATGAGAGGCCGCTGGCTGGGGTCAGCGGTGGGGAGAGTGAGCCTTGTCTACCGTAGATACCCAGGCTCCATTCTAGAAGGATCGCAGTTTCGGACTTGAAAGAGAGATGCCGAGTCTCAGGAGGAGACAGGACGGGGTGCTCATGACCCTGGCTAACGGTTCCCCGCCAGCACACAGGCAATCGCATCACGAGGGACCACGCCGTCGACTGGACCGTAGACGGCTGGAGATGTCAGTCCATCAAAACCGCCGTCGAGAGAACCAATCAGCCAGCCGGCTCCAGCACGCGGGAGCTCATGGCCGTGCCCATGACTGACCAAGCGTTTGAGTCTAAAAAACAGGAAAGTGGGTTAAAAAACTTTAAAAAGACACTTCCCAAGAGAACATTCAGATGATCAATACGCATGAAAAGCTGCTCGACTTTATCAGCCCTCAGGCAGACGCGAGTTGACCTGCAATGCACTCTCGAGAAACACCCGCCAGATGGAAGGTGCCAGGGCGCTCGCGGGCGCCCGCGGGGGCGGGACGGGCGTGAACTGCAGGGTTTGGGCGGCGGTCTGTACTTGTGACCTGGGCGGTGGCCACATGCACGTGTCCGTTTCGTGACAGTTCATCTTTATATTTGTCATCCTTAACAGATTGACCAAAAACATGCGCCCAAACGAACTCAGGCTGCACAGTAAGAAAACAGAATCCCCAGCGCGACGTCCTGTCCACGTGCACTGGGGGCTCTCACTTCGTGTATGACACGCAGAGCACCTGCTGGGGGCAGAGTCCTGCTCCAGCCCCGGAGGAGCTGATGGTGGACCGTCCATGTGAGCCCTGCCAAGCTGACCGCCGGGAGCTCGCCATCCAGGGAAGGGCGGCCACGAACCCGCATCCTGGGTTCTCACTTGGCCCCAGGCCTCTGAAATGATGGATGCGATGGGTGCACACGGCATTTCCACTGCCTGTTCTGGGTGCGGCTGCTTCTGACACAGCCCCTGCCCCCAGGCTGCCCCCAGGCTGCTAGGGACGCGGGGCCAGGGCTGTGGGAGCCCAGGGGAGTGCCACACCCAGCCTGGGGAGGGATGAATCAGGGAGGCTTCCAGGGGGCGGTGGCTTTGGGAATGAGCCATGTAGGAGACGGGGGCTCCTGGGTTGCTCGTGGCTCGGGGAGCAGAGTATCTGTCTTTCTGCAATATTGTTTCCTCCAGTTGCTCCCTGCTCCCTTCAGCCTCACCTCAAATACCTCTCCCCAGTGTGGGATGATGCGGGCTGTGCCCGCTTTTGCTTCTGGGAGCAGATGCTTGGGTTCTATCCGGCTGTACCCCTGGAGTCCAGCCCAGAGCCTGGTTCACCCCGGCAGCTCAAGAAATACCTGTCCAGCCGGCCTTTGATCGGCCAGCTGACACGGTGCCCGGGACCCCCACGCTCCGGGGTCAGCTTTACGGCCCGTGTCCCATCAGCCTCTCGGCCAGAATCACCGGAGATCTTGCTTGGCATTCCTGGGTCCCGGTGTTGGCACGAACACCTGCGATCTTGCCCAGAACGGGTCTTTCCCTGGGCCTCAGTTTCCTCCGTGTGTCGGGGGACACACACCCGCTTTAATCGGAAACCGGCCTCCAATAGGTGCTCGGGAGGTGCAGCGAAGCATATTGCCATGTGCAAGGCCGCGTGATTGAAATGTCACGCTGTACCACGTCTCAGAGCCAAGAGGCCGGGGCCGCGGCCACCGCCGCAGGTGGGGAAGCACGTTGGGAGGTGGACACGCGGGCCGCACGGCCGGCATGGCCGTTTGGACTGGGGTCTCGTGACCAGGGATCCATCGCAGGCTGTCCGCGACTCCACGGAGAGGCCACCAGCCTCACCGACACTTTCCTCTGTCTGTAAACAAACTGCCCTCCTTCCGCTAGCAGGTGCTTCTTGGCGGGGAGACCCGGAGAGACGTGATTGCTGGGGCTCAGCGCACCGTCCTCCCATGGGTGGGACAGATGGCGGGCCAGGTCTTCCACACCCCTTTGGCCCCCCCGGGGCCTTTCGCGCAGCCTGCACGGAGGGTCGCTGGGGGCCGAGGCCCAGGGGAGCTGCGCTAAGACAGCGTCCTGAATGAGCTCACCTTTCCTCCCGGTAGGTCCCTGAGCCGGGCGGTCCGGTGTGGGGAGGGCTGGGCTGAGGGGAAGGAGCCTTGTGCTGTTTGAGAACGAGAGACCCCGAGTCCCCACGTGGGGACAGACCTGTGAGAGCGGGACCCTCAGGACGAATGGCCCACTTCCCTTTGTGTTCCCAGCAGCCCGCTCAAATGATCTATGGGGAAGGGCCATTTTCAAGAGGTTCCAGTCGGTCCAGACCAGCACTTTGGTAAAATATAATACAAATAAACTGCTAGAAGATCAAAGAAAAAGACAGGCCCATTTAAAAATTATGATTATTACGAGATTCAACAACACAAATCTCTGCGTCTGTTTTCCCCTGATGGTGACAATGGTTTGCAAATGGCTCTGGGCCGTGGCACGCTTGGGGTCACGCTGGCCAGGTGGGGTTGGCTCAGGAAGGTGGTTTGTCCTTAGCTGGGAAGGCGGGTTGCCGGGAGTGGGGAGAGCCCCAGTGCCCCAGGGACCAGGGGTCCAGCTCCGGGCACTCAGTGTGTGGGGGGCGGTCAGCAGCAATGCCGACGTGCACCCCGAGAGGTGGCGGAGGTCATGGAGGGGGCTTGCAGTTGGACACCCTGCTTCTGAAGACAAAAAAAAAAATCATGGCAGTTGGGGGTTCCTGAGCGAGGAAGGCCCATGTAGGAAGTCAGACGGAGCTGATCGTTTTAAATTCCTTCCGTAGCGTTAATTTTCTTTTTTCCACTTTGGCGAGAAGATCAAAGAGAGAAATGGGGGTGAGGAGGAAGGGGAGTGAGGTTTGCTGCTTCCTTTTCTCAAGGCCCAGGACAGCATTACCCCAACAGCAGATTGAGAGGGGCTTGGGTGTCCACCGGGGGTGCCTTGAACAGGATGCCCATGGGCTGCGTGGAGAGATTCACGGGGTGTGGGGGTACTGGAGAGAGGCCCTCCAGGAAGAGAGCAGAGGCTCAAGGGGCAGGATGGAGCTGATGCCCCTCCCCCATGTTTGC